AAGCCCCATACCTTCGCTGCACACAAGAACTAAAGATGTAATCTCTCCAACGGCGGCTACTTTGTCGGCACAACCCATGCAATTTACCACAGGTTATGAAGATGTACTTTCTTTTACATCTTTGGTGTTGTGATACGCCCATAAGAGGTCTTGTCTCCCATTTCAGCCTTTTTGGGTGGACACTCAATCAGCGATGCAGCAAGCTCCATATCTTCTCTGCACACAACAAATAACGATGCTACCTCTACAACGGCCTCTACAATGCCAACCCATTCTACGCTAATTACGAGAGGTGAAAGAGATTGAAACTATGTCCTTCACTAACCACTTTATAATTTTATTTGAGATCTTGCTTTCTGATACCATATCATTTGCCTATAGATTCGTTGTTGTGATCTAAAGCTCACTTAATCGCGAGACTAAAATACCTGCAGTGCAGGAGCTACGCTGCGCTCATCAAGATTTGATACAAGCTCCACCTCAGAATCTGCAGTGTCAACGCAATCGATGCAGGTTACGATAGGTAAAACAAAATATACCTTCTCCAACTTTGATGTTGTGGTTGTTCACAGGTCTGTCTCCTAGTTCAGCATTGTTGCGTGGCCACTCATCCAGCGAAGCAACAAGCTCCGTACTTCCTCACGCGACAAATACCGATGCAACGTCAACCTCTACAGTGTCAACACAATCCATGCAAATCACGACAGGTGACACAAGACACGCCTCCGTCCTTTGCTTTAGTATCGCGATTTCAGAGCCCTTGCATAATTTAGTATTAATGCGTGGTAACTCACACAGAGAAGCAGCAAGCTCCATATCTTCCTTGCACTCAACAACTAACGATGTAACCTCTTCAACGGCGCCTACAGTGTCAGCACAACCAGTGCAAATTAGGACAGGTAAACATGATGTACTTTTTTTACTTCTGACACACATGTGTACCAATTCCGTGCTTAAAGTCATTATCACTTTCGGCACTTATTGAGAAGCCCACTTGATGGCGGACTTGTGCACAAGTACAATACTGCTCCTAACCTTTCTAACATCTACGCGTTGCGACGGTTCTGTAGCGTCGCAAACCGTCGCACCATTATAACTTCCTTGAAAGCGGGTAAAATGGAAAGATCTTTACAGCAATAGACTCGCCTCTCTGTGGCGAGTCTAACCATGTGTATACCTACTAATATGCTTGAAATGACAATAAGTTATTCCATGAAAACTATTGTCAATCCCTCGTCTGACTGTCTCGCCTCTCCTCATTCCCATTATCTCTCCAGTCTGGCTCTTATCGTTAGCTACCGCCTTCATGATTTCACAAAGCCTTCCTTCGAGCTCTTCTCCACTTCCTCGGCCCCATTTTGAACCCACCAGGGCCCTTGAGGTATGCCTCCCCGAACAGAAGAGGGACCCCTCCCTGGTAAGGTATGCTCTCCCCGAAAACTCTCGGGGAAAGGGCCACGCCTCCAGTTCTCGGGGATTCTCCCCGATTGACATTGCAATTGACATGCAGTCTGGGAGACATACCCGAGAACCGATGCTATTTTCTTTCCCCGAGACTTTTCGGATATCTTACGGCCCGCAAACCGTCGCCATAACTCTTGAAGAAATGGTTCACGCGATTTGAAAGTTATACCAGCTGATAGCTCTGCTCGAGATTTACAAGATGCTATATTTCAATTTTCGAAAGAGCTTCATCTAGGATTGCAGTAGTGGTAGGCCCATTATGTGACATTCCCCACTTTTAGAGGAGATGTTTTGTGGAAACCTGAGAAGATAGCGAGGAATCTCTCCACTGCGTAGACTACGGTTACTTGTCTGTAGGAATTATGTAAAATATTTGGTCGCAGGTGAGCGTTCCTTCCGTGGTGTGGCCCCAAACATCACTCTCGTCATGCCTTGTGATATGATCAGTTTTTTTGCTTGTCCAGATGGACTTGGACCTGAAATGTGCACCATTCGATTTCCCATGAAAAATACTATCGAATGGTGTACAACACAGGTTGCACACGAAACTTTGTTTTTTCACCTTTTTTCTCCCCATTGGCGATCGTCTTTCCAGCCCTTGGCGGCCACGTGCGATTCACGTGCACCTCGCCGACCCGTTACCCTTCGCATCTCTCTCAATTGACTATTTAATTAATTACTACTTAAGCTCAATTATCATTCGAAAAAGGTAAACAGCTGATATTCAAGTCATCAATTTTTTCCCTCGACAACTCCAGAGCTAATCTACTGAACTCGCAGTGATAGAAGGCTGGCTAGACTGGACGGCGTGCGGTCGATTACTCGATCCCCTGGCCGTGCGTGTGGAAAACGCCGCTTCTTGCCACTCCGTCAGCTGCATATAACCAATAATGATAAAGGATCCTACTTACTATAAAGCGTTTCGTCTGTCGTTCTGTCTGTCGTCTGTCGTCTGTCGTTCTGTATGTCTGTCACGAAATTCCCTAGCTTCTGGGGATCCGCCTGGAGAGACCGGGTCAAGTGTGGGATGGGTGGGCAAGGTCTCGCGAAGTACAAAACAGACAGCAGCTAGGGCGTGGTGTGCATCGAAATGAGTGACGCTGACGACCAGGATTTCGGAAACTATACCAAAAAGCCTCGAAACTGGGGAAAAAACGTAGGTAAAGGTGTGCATTGGTAAGTCAGATCGAACTAAGGAGACCCACCCGGGTGGGCGGGGCGTTCTCAAATTAAAGCAGTGCTTAACAAAAAAAATTGATAACTTGGTTAGGAGAAGGCCTACAGAGCAGAAAAAAATTGGAACAGGAAAGCAATGTCTAAACGACGAAGGTAAGTCAGCTGCCATTGGGGGGCGGGGTATGCACCAAAGTGGGCGCAGTTTGTCAAAAACTTTTTCGGTTCCAAAAAGTCCCAGAGACCGGGAAAAAGGGGTAGGGGTTGGCAAAGGAAAGGAGGGCAAATGCTATTGGTGGGCGTAGCACGCACCAAAGTTGCTGGAGTTTGTTGCCGGACTTATTATGTATTTCTAGGGAGTTCTAAAGAGGCAAGGAAGATTAAGATGGGTCTGCACCGAAATAGGCTGTTTGCGAAGAGATTTATAAATCGGTCAAGAAGCAGTCCAGAGACCGGGAAAAGCGAATAATGGTTGACGAAGAAAGAGACGTCGAAAGTCATCGACGATGGAGCGGATAGAATCCAGCTAAGAAATCGAGTCCGTCAATGGAAAGGAGGTCAACTGCTATCGTGGGTGGGGCGTACACCAACGTGGGCGGAATTTGTCCTGAACTTATAATTCAGATCCGAAAAGTCTAGGAGACCGGGAAAAAAAGAAAGCTGAGTCCGCCGAGTTGCGAATTTTTGTGGGTAACGCCGCCCCCTTTGGTGCACGCTCCACCCACCAGTAGCAGTTGGCCCTCTTCCATTGACGGACTCACCTCACTTTTTTCCTGGTCTCCAGGACTTCTGGGCGGAAGTGGTGTAGTGGCAAGTGGCACGCTTACCACGCGAGCGGTCCGGGATCAAATCCTGGGTCGTGAGTCGCCCGGGCCAACCAAGCCTTCCATCCCTCCGGGGTCGGTTAATTGGTACCAGACTTGTCTGGGAGGATAAAAACACTGACTTGTACATCGGCTGGCCCCCGCAAGTCATTGTATAGGCCACATCGCATTCAAACGCCACTACGAATGTACAAATGGAAGTAGAATGCGTGCCGCATCCCAAAAAGGGATTGATCAACGGCAAATGCTTTATCCTTTATCCTATTATAGCTAGCTTCTTGAATCCCTTTTAG